GGGGGGGCACCCTCTGGCAGGCGGCCCGGCGAGCCGCACAGAGCACGGCGAGCGCACGGCGCGGCTGCCGGCCCGCGCCCTTAACCCTTGTGTGCACCCGGCCGGAGCAGCGGTCCCTCCAGCGGAGGCCCGGTGCCTCTTCCTAACTGCGGCTCCGGATCCCGGACGTCGGCCCGAGGGGGGACTGTGCCTTCCAGGTTTGAGAAAGGGGCGGGGAAGTTGGGGAGATGAGGTCATTGGAGTGGTGACCGATCGGTGCTCTCGCGCCTCCTCGGCTCCTTGCAACCTAGTTGGAGGGGACAAGGCGAGTGCAGTGTGCAACTCCGGTAACCTGGAGTTTTCACCGCAACGGGTGTCAGGCTTCGGCTCCCACCTGGTAAAATAACCAAGGATGGGAACTCGGCTGATTCTAATCCCGAAGTGACCTTGGTGCCCCCAACCCCCAACCCCCAACCCCGGTGCGCGTCTAAGAGACTCACAGTATCCACGCTGTTAACCCTCCTGCCCGTGAGCCCTGAGCAACCCGACTCCGGGCCGGTGCCTTGGCTTGCAACTCGGGAAAGTTCTCAGGCTTCCTCAGTTTGCACTGGCGCCGTCACCTTTCCTGCCCGGACAAGCTGGCGACCTCCCGGCCCTCCTTTCTAATTCTGCAGATCTAGAAATCTGCAGCAGGAATCGAACGTCTCGGGTCTAGCCCTGGTAGCAGACCTGCTCACTCCTCTTGCAACTAACTGGGGATCATTCATTTCATCGGAAGTGAGGTAACTGGTGCATTGAGCATTCTATGGCCGTTCTCGGGAGTCCAAGGCGAAGGAACTTCCCCTGGTCCCGGTAGCTAAACGCAGACGTGGAGTCCTCACCCACCCCCCTCCACTACACTGCTGCCAGGTGTGAGCTCTGTGGGAAGGAATCTTCCCCGGAGGAGTGCACCTTGCCAACAGGTGTGGCACCCAGAGGAAGAGCGGGCACAACCCTACAAGGGTCGCTCAGTGCCGCGTTCTCTTTGCTGCAGATAATTCTAGACCAGTAGGTGTCAGGCCAGCATCTGACCTCTTTCAGGTGCTTAGAACTCAGAGTCTAGAATCTCGATCCCTTGGTCTTGTAGAAATGACTAAAAGCGGGTTTTGAGAGACCCTTTGGCTCCGTTTACTTAGGACTGAACAGTCAGTGTCTGAAGCAGCGTACAGAATCATCAAGAGAAACCTGTGAGCTTTCTAAACTACTGTATCGTGGAGTCAGCACTTCAGATTAAAATTTTAAAAAAAGTCATGAGGGGTGGGGGTTACATATCTATTCTCAGGTTTGAAATACCGTGCACACGTCCACAGCTACTTAAATAGAACTACGACTGTTCCCTCCCACCCCCCTCCGTAACTTGTGTTGCTGTTCACTTAAAGATCCCTGATTGTTAGACTTCATATGCTAAAGTGACATCGTTGGTCTCATTACAGCCTCTAGTGGACGGTTAACAGGAGTTGCCTGTCAAGTCTCTGACTAGTTTTGTTTTCCTTCCTGAGCTTTATCCAGGTGAAGGTTAATAGTTCAGAGCTTAATCGGGTGCTGGGTGCTTTCCTTTCGCTGCTCTTGGGAAAGCTGTCTTTGAACAGGAGCGGAAGCTTGCCGGCTTCGCGTGGAACAGGCAGGCGTAAGCTTTGCACTACAGGTATTGTTGCTGCTGGCCCGTGAATCGACAAAGCTTCTGCTCTTCGCTTCAGTTGCAGACAGCTTTCATAAAAAAACCAAAATCCATCTCAAATATTTTTATAACAGAAAATATTGGTTGCCATGTTTCTGGCGTAACTGAGATGTTTTCATTCCAGCTCATAATCTGCAAACTGTCCAATCCACCTCCACTCTATTTTTAGACATCTTACATTTAGAGAATTTTCAAGGGAAAAACTAATATTGTAATTATTACGTTGGTGCAAGCAGTTAATTTGCATTATTTTAACAACCTTAAACATATTAAAACACATAATTCATATTAGACATAGTCAATTAATTTAAATGTTCCCTGAAGAAAGCTAAATATGTGCATTACCCACACAGTAAAAATAATTAATAAGAAATGTGCTGTTTACTCTCCTAGCCATTACAATTAAAGCCATAAACTGTCACACTGTCTCCCTCCTTTCCTCTCTCTCTCTCTCTCTCTCTCTCTCTCTCTCTCTCTCTCTCTCACACACACACACACACACACACAACCTCCAGCTATTTTTTGCTTCAAGGTCCAACACAAACATAATACCCACGATGCAGCTTCATAACTCGAGTGCTGATGTATTTTCTTTTCAGGTGACAGAACATCAAATGCACCATCAGTGGTAACAGGACAGGTTCTTTAAAAGCAAAAGTTCTCACGCAAATGAAAACTTGGTGGTAACAGAGCAGTTTCCAAGGTGGCAGGTGACGGCTGTATAGCACCATTCCCCTGAACCCAAATCTGACATTATATTTATACAAGACTCAGTCAAGCTTTGAAATGGAGTCAAATTGAGGAAGAAGGGCCTGCTGAGCCTTACTCCTAATCTGTGTTATGAATGACTTAAAGAATGTGAAAAGAAATGTTAGTACCCTTTATTTGTTTTTCTAAAGATTTGTTTAGTGTGTGTATGTGTGTGTGCATGTACGTGTGTACGTGTGCATGTGTGCGTGTGTGTGTGTGTGTGTGTCCTGTCACTTTCCGAGTACTCCTTTGAGACGGGGTCTTTACCTGAACCTGAGGCTCATCTCTTCTTGACTAAGCTAGAAGCCAGCAAACCTAGCCACTGCCTCTTGTCTCTTCCCTCTCCAGGCTGAGGTAATGGAAGGTGGGATGCCAGACTCCTTTGATGAGTGCTGGGGTTCACACTCAGGGCCACACTATCCTGCAGCAAGTGCCCTCAAGACCCAGGTCATGTCTCTAGCCACCTTCTATCTATTTTAGTGTTTTTGTCCCATCTACTTTTGAAAGTTTAAAATGGACTGGCTACTGTATATTAAGTCAAAAGACTTTTATGTATTACATTTCTGCGTTTAAAATTGGAGTCCAAAATGTCGCAGCGCCCGCCACGGCACCATCACCTGGAGGAGTTTAGACTTCAGAATCAAGGTTCCTACCCCACGATATGCAGTCAGTGTCTGCCTTTGTACTAGCTGCCTGCCGAAGACTGGGCGCATCCCAGCCTGAAGAACACTGATCTTCATGGGCTCTGTCTGGGCACATTTGGCCATGATACAGAACTTGATTCACCAATGAATCACCTTTATGTTAATTGTTATACACAGGGGAAAAAGGGACCGCATTGCTCCTGGATCTCTGCATCCCCAAACTTAACCAGCTTCTAGTAGAAAACAAAACATTTTTAAAAGCCATCTACACTGAATACCTGTAGACTTACCCCTCATTGTGCTCCACACAGAATACAGAATAACAAGTCTTTCCACCACACCGGGGTGCTATCAGTAATCTAGAGATTCCTTAGAACTTAAAGTTATACTGTAAATTTAAATTACTGATTATTTAAAGCATTAGAAAATATGAATACATGGTGTGTAAACACTATATAATACACTTATACAATCTAAGATTTGGATATTTCAGAGGAACCCTAAAACTAGCCCTCCCGTTTGAGGGGTGACAATATATGTGTGAAGAAAATAGCACTCCTCGAAGAGCCCCAGTTCATCTATGAAAGAAACTGGCTTGAAATGAGTGTGTTGGGGTCTTCTCTAGGAATGTGCTCTCTGAGGCAGTAGAGGGAGCACAAGAGTGCTTAGGACAGCCATTGTACACAGGGCGCTCCAAAGCATGACAGATTTTTAAACTGCAGTATATGTTTGCATTGGAAGTAGCCCGTTACGCCATTCCAAACAAAACAAAACGAAAAAGCTAACAAACACACTGCCTACCCGATTACAGCAGCTAAATAATTGAACAGATTGCAAATTACATAAAATAAAAGATACAAGATATACTCATTTCAAGTTCTAGGCTTGCATTCTTCCAGTGGACTTCAAGAATCCTGCTTAGAAAAGGTACTTTATTGCCAAGAATGCACAAAGCCCTTCCCCCCCCCCCCACCCAGTTTGATGCTCTGGGTGTGGCTGGCACACACCTGTAATGTGGACTGGGGAATTCCAAATTGTTGTCCCTGAACTATGTAGCAAGTTCAAGGATAGCCTAGGATAGGTGGGATGTTGTCTTAGGGAAAAAAAAAAGTAAAAAGTCTTCCTGGCCTGGTGACGTACCTCAAAGGTTAAAAGAACTGACCACCAAGCCTGAGGACCCAGGTTCAGTCCCTGAATCCACACGGTGGAAGGACAGACCAAGTCCTGCAAGTTTTCCTCTGACTTCCCTCACAGTAAGTAAATGCACATGATAAAATTTAGTTAATAAAAGGAAAAGATGTGTTGGTTTTCTCTAGTCAAAAATAATGTTAATTTTTCAGAATAGACAACCCAGAGAGAAACTAAAATGGATAACTAAGAAAGGAGCTACTTCATCAATATTATACCCAATAAATTGATTTTGAGTCAGACGCATTGGTTAAAAAGTAGATGATTTTTGTAATACTTTCAAAAATGTCTCATTTTGGGCTGTTTCAACTGCTTGCCATGATGACCATCAATTTGATTATATTTATATAATATTTCATGCTGTTCAGATTTCTCCTATATCATACCCTCAAACACTTCCCTGGGGTGGCTAGGGCACATAGGAAAAGCCAAGATTGAATCAGGAAGCTACACAGTGAGAGCTAGTTGACATTTAGTAAGTATCTATTTATTTATTGTAGGTGAATTTCATGAGGTAGTCCAGGCTGGCCTAGAACCTCCAGTCCTCCGATCAAAACCACAGGAGTGCTGGGATGACAGCCTAGATTGGTCTCCAGCTGATAAGCATGCATTCAGTAAGAGATGAGGAATAGTGCACCAGGCCTGGAGCCTTGGACCCAGGGACCAGCATTCGGGAAGTGGAGACAGAGAAATCTAAAGCCCAAAGTCGACCTCAGCTACATGGTGAGCTGCAGAGCACGTGGGACCTTATAATTAGAACCTGTGTCTTAATTCTCGAGCTGTTCTTTCTGTCCTTGCTGTTCCTCGGGCACTATTTGTTTTGCCTCTAGTACACAATATACACTATACATAGACCCCCCCCCTCCGCCGCCAAGAACACACACTGAGGAAAATGGACTATCCCACAGTTTACCAACCTTACCTTTCTAAAATATGTATATCTTTACCAGGGTGAGGAGGCTCACTGCTGACCGACCAGTAGCTCTCAGAAACACACAGCGCTGGAAGCACTGAGAATCCAAGACGGCACTCACTGAAATGTTGGGGTGGGGGTAGGAGAACAGTTGTATAACTCTTGAGCAAGGTTAGGCTTACAAACTCCTATTAGCCTTTCAGCTTTGTAAACCAGACCAAATGTGAAGGCGAAATGCATCTTATCTAAGTGCACCTCCTATCAAAGATCATCGAAGTTGAAGTAGTAAACATTTATTTATTCTTATCTCTTTAGAATTGTTAAACATCTTTCCTCCCACAGTAGTGAAGTACTTGCCAAGTTTCTGCCTGGAACAATTTGTTATGGCTATGCAATAATCCTGGAAACTTTGAATTTTTAATGGAAACACTGAGGCCAGCTCTTTAACCATGCTCTTGCAAAAAGGGGTTTATCCTATATGCCATCTTAAAAACAGAGCAAGCTGCGGTAGTTACAAAACAAAACACTTTGCTTAGATTGTACTCCTAAAGAAGCCTGTGGGGAAATAAACCAGAATAATGAAGAAACTAGAAACAAAAGTGAAAGCTGCCCATTCAATAGACTCTGGGGTCCGTGGGCCACACCCTAGCTGAAGTCTAGAGGTTCCACTTTCAGACCTGAGTCCCAAGGCTGTGTGCAGCCTACAGGCTTACAGACCTGAGTCCTGAGGCTGTGTGCCACCTACAGATTTACAGACCTGAGTCCTCAGCCTGGGTACAGCCTACAGATTCTTACAAGCCTGCTACAGAACCACATGTTTGATCTCCTAAAAACTGCAGCTGCGCAGGCTTCTTGATCATGAAATGACATCACTAATATTCAAGAGTGGAATGAGGGTTTGGAGTATAGCTCAGTGACAGCATGCTTGCTTGCTTGCCCTCAGCAAGACTCTGAGTTCTATTCCCCAGAGCCACAGAAAAAAGGGTTGGCTAAAAGCCCTTGCACCACAGTATCTGCTGCCAGTTTCTGATTCAAGAGTACACATACTGACTAAACAAAATGGCAATTTTAAAAACAACCACACAAATATTTTAATATAGAACCTTGCTATCCAGTATGGTCTTTGAGCTCTTGAAACTTGGCTAATTTAAATTGAAATGTACTGTAAACATGAAATATGCTTCAAAATTTAAAGATTTACTTAGATACCTGTGTATATGAAAGATATAAATACAGGTATACATATATTCAGTACCTCAATAATTTCTTATTGATTAAATGTTGAAATGAAAATATGTGCATTCACCATGCACTGGGATAAATGAAACATATTATTAACACATATAAAAGCATGAACATATGTACATATATGCAATAAATATACACACATGCTTGTATGCAGAGATGTATACACATGAATATACAAGTGATCATATACATACAAACACACATTCAAATTTATATTTAAGTATATATCTTGTTCTTTGTTTGCTTAATGGGTAAAGCAATGGAGCCCAGAGCTTCATCATGTCAGGCAAGTCCTCTACTCCTTCAGCCCCATAATTCAACATTTTCCACAGTCAGCTACCAAGAGTGTAGATGATGAGATTGGCAAAACAGTCTAGCCTCAAAGAGCTGGACACCTCTGGATCCTGGATGGCTTCTTGCAAGCATTCAACGGATATTAGCTGATGTTTACCCTTCATCTGAGTGTCCTCTTTCTCCATGTGACTGTAACGCCTGTTCTCTGAGAGTCATCTGTCTGAATGCATTGTCCCATTGGTAGATATGCTGCAGGCCTGTGAAGCAAAAACTGTTAGACTCCTCTGTGACTGAGTCTTCATGGAGGGTGTTCAGACTCTGGTTACTTGAATTGCTGAAAAACCGACATGTGTGTTAGAAAGCAATAACGTTCTAGCATTATAGCTGGTTTGGGAGGTTGCTATTTGTGGCTAAATAGTGTGGTGTTGATACCTTCTAGGGACAAATGGCTTTGGGCATTAATAATGGAAATTATACTATTCGGGGCTTGGAATATGACTTAGTCAGTACATCCTTGCTTCAAAGTGTGAGAACTGGAGCTGCGAGCCTCAGCACACGTATAAAAATTTGGGTGTGTTGGCACACCATTAAACCCAGAGCTGGGGAAGTGGAGACAGAAGGATCCCTGGGATTTGCTGGCCAGTCGATCTAGCTGAAAACATGAACTCCAGGTTCAGTAAAAAGTCCCTGTCTCAAAAATAAGGTTGTAGGTCAGAAAGATTGAATTTCTGGTACCTACCTAGTGGAAAAGAAGAACCACTAGCTGATTTCTTTGCCCATGCATACACTTACAGTGCTATACTGAAATGCACACACACACACACACACACACACACACACACACACACACACCAATAAAAAATGTAGTATGATGAAAAAAGGGAAAAAAAACACTTGACACTGATCTGGTGTACACACACACACACACACACATACTCATTCATACACACACATACATATATACATGCTTATGCACACATGCCCACATGATAAGATACACAATAAATAAATTAATGTTAAAAAATTAAGATGCACAGTGACTATGGAAAACACCAAACATTGACCTCTGACCTACACAAATGCACAGGTACACGCGCACATGTTCATACCCACACATGAAAATTATACATTTTGCTGTCTTACTAAAAACATACCAAGTCTATTGAAAAGAAATCTGTTTTTTAATATATAATAATTTCAGCCCAGTGGGATACTTCTAAAGGAAATGAGATGCTTTTTGAAAATTTTTTAACCATTGTTAATTTGTCAGCAAGCCAGAGGTCAATTGTCATCGAGGCCTCTCTGACCAAGATTGAATATGAGGAAATGGACCTGTTAAATATTATAGTTTGCAACTCCAATCATCTAATAAGCACAACTCTTTTTAAATGAGAAGAAGACAGGCAACATTTTAAGGCTGAGAGTATGTGAGTTAAACCTTGCTTGGTATTGGCTGGAAACTTTTGGGACTCTATTTTTAGTGTTTCATTAACAACTTGGCATTTTTTTTCCTCAAAAGAAATCCATTTTCTAAATTAAAATCCAAGCCAGAGGCACCACCGTGTGAACGTAAGACAGTGGCACTTGATGGGTTATACTTGTCAGACACAGGGTGCTTCCAATGTGAGGTGTGGACCATAGCAGGCTGCAGAAACAAACATCGGATCCTTACGGGAGGTCCGGGAGACTTCTCTGTCCTTCTGGCTTCGTGACATGAGAAAACATGACTGCAAGCTCTCTCTTAGCTACTTTATTTTTCTTGAATAAATATTGGCCAGGACAAGCTGGTCTGAATAAGGGTCATAGTTTAAGAACATCCTTTTGTGAGGAATTTACCCAGCTTGCCCCCAAAGAGGAAGCAGTGCAGAAAAAAGAAATGCATTGGCAAGATTTCCTTTTTTTTTTCTTTTTAACATAAATAAGTAGAGTTCATAGAAGAAACTGTACAGTCAGGGTTTCATAGGAGATTAGCAGGTGGTTTGAAGCCTCCACAAAGACCTGGAAGTGGGGCTGGGAGCTGGGGCAGGGAGTGGGCGGTATCTAAAAGCCTCCTACTGGAGGTTCTGGTTTTGCTTTGCCCCTCCTGCCTCAGATGCCTTCTGCCAGGGCGGGGATAATAGCACCCGACTAAAACTGTAAATTACAAACATTCTCCTTAACTACAGAATGAACATGCAGAATAGAAGACCCTGTCAGCCCGAGTGCCAAACAATCAAAGAGAAGAAGACAAATTACTCACTCATCCCCCTGCAGCCAAAATCTTATTCTGCCAGCTCCATGGCTGGGGGAGGTCTTTGCTTTTTTTTTTTTCTGTCAGATACGAAGAGAAATTAATACTTTGCAACTGTAATAAATACACGGGTGTGGAATCCATTCTACTGCAATAGGCAACTGAGTTGTGAGATCTGCTTTTCATTCCAACTCCCTCTCTGCTTTAATGCTGGTGCTTAAATACCAAGAGTAAGAGCATAGGATCCCAACACTCTCAGGACTAGCTTTTCCTGCAGTCAGTTTTATAATTGCATGGCTCCACCCCCTCCTGCTCAGTACTTCCTTTTCCTCAATACCCTTTCTCCCCCACCCAACCATGAATCATCTTGCCTTTAAAGAGACTGCTATGACCCCGTGTGAACTTTGCTGGCATCCTGTATCTCCCTGTGCCAAAAAAGCAGGGCAGTAGTTCTGGGACAGAAACCGGGTCAGACCCTGATTCAGGCTCTGAGGGGACAATCTGGGGGTACTTCTCTGGGAAGAAGAGTGGGGAGTTACTTTTCCTAGATCCTGAAGAGGATTCTGAATTTCATATCTTGGTTCACAATCGGGTTCGTAAGAATCCAGTTTGGCCCTTTGTGCAGAATGAAATATATCAGAGGGGAAAAAAATGTTGGCTGATCTTTTTCTGCAGTCAGGGCAGAAGAATTTCTACCACATTCGGCTCTTTGATTTCTCCAGATCTTGCTGAGAGTGGGGTTTCCATATTTGTGCTTTGGCAAATGTGTCCGATAGCTGATTCCTCCTGATATGAGTTCCTAGTGTTATCATTTTCTTATGTGCGCATTCATTGAAACCAGAAACAGGTTTGACCTTCCTCCCTTCCCCCCTGCAATGATGGAAGTGGAAAAAACCCAGGACCCTGTGATCTCTAGGCAGGTGCTCAACCACTGGGCTACACTCCAGCCTCCTCCTCCTCCTCCTTCTTTTTAATATTTGAAAACAGCAGATAAAATTAACAGTACAGGCCTTGAGATGTGACACCCCCCTAAAGGAGGTGCAAAGTGTGTCCACAAATTAACCTCATGCCCTGGCGAACACTTTTCTCTTTGTACGCAAAGCCTACCTTGCTTTCTACACCCCACCTCCAGTCCTCAGCCCCACCTTCTTAGCCTAGAGACCTACTCCTCATCTTTCAACACTTGGCTTAAGCGTCAGCACATCAGCGAAGTCTTCCTTGATAATCACAAGAGTCTGCGTCTCTGCCCAGTGTGTGAGTCAGAGCAGTGCTATTTTCTAATTCTTTTTATTTATACAATATTTTTTAAGCCAGTAACAGAAGATAAAAAAAAGAACTTTCAGGGCCATGAGCACAGATGGAGAGAGTATCCTGTTCGGGGAGGAGAGCCGCTCTTATCTGAAGGCTTCCTGTGGCACCCAAACACGTGTGGCCTTCGCTAGCTTCAGCTGTGAGCATGTTTCCTTTCTTCAGTACTCTGCCTTGCTCTAACGGGCCTAGATAGAAAATCTATCTTTCTTCTGGACCTGAGATT